AAATACACAAGTATAATCAAATATGAGCCCAATCGAAAGTCAGGAAGTGGTATCGTAATATGGTACTATATTAAGGTATCACTTTATATGCATCATAGTACCATCATATTACAATGTCACCGAAGATACTTACTATACCAAGTATAAGTCCAATCGCACTCCAGGAAATGGTATCGTATATGGTACTATTATGGTACCTATTGATATGCTTCATGGTACCATAATATTACAATGTCACTGAAGATACGTAATATACCAAGTTTAAGCCCAATCGAACGCCATGTATCGTAATATGGTACTATATTACGGTATCACTTAATATGCTTCATGGTACCATAAATATTGCAATGTCATGAAAAATACGCAAGTATATATCATGATACCGAAAAAAACGGCGTCCAATTGACTGGGAAAAGACGATCGATGATATTTCCCATATAAATTTACACATAAAATGACAGCGATTTTCATTTCATAGCCATCGCTAACGCCGTTTTTTCCCGATCATACGGTATGAACACAATCGAACGTCAGGGAGTGGTGTCATAATAATAGAACAATACTTATTATATTGTCGCCGAATTACAATCAAAATTCAGGATTTGGTTAGAATCAAACTTCAGGAAGTGATTTTAATTCAGCTCGTAAGATTTAACTCCAACTAACATGGCAAGTTAAATACTTAAACGTTTGAAAAAAGAGCTCTAATCTATTTTAATATGTTTAAATGATGTAGCAAATTTGAAGGTAGGCTTTATCAGGAAGTATTACAATATAAATTACACAATGGCAACACTGCATATAATTCTTTTAAATTTCGTTTGTAGAAAACTGGTTTCTTTTAAATTTATCGCCCTCTGTTATGTAGTAGTGAAACTACCGCATCAAAATATCTGATTTGGAGACAGGCTTTTAAAGCCTGTCTCCTTTTGCTACCTACAATTTTATACATGTAACGAGGCTTCTGTTGCGTAGCTAGATATTCTGTGATATTAGTCTCGAAAAACAGAGGATTTGTACCGCTGCGCTTTCCATTAGAGCGACCGGAATAGGAAAATGGCTTTCGCGTTTCGCAAGACGCCTTTTGTTCGTTCTGCTCCTTCCCATCTCCGCGCTGCCTTCACTGACTGACGCCATTCGTTCCTTCACCAGATTATCATTTTAACCGCTTTCTCTGCTTAAAAGCCACTTACCATCCAGGTCGGTCCAGCCGGAATAATAAAAACAAACGCCAGGAACGGCCCTTTTGGGGACTCGGGGAGGTTTCAGTATACGAGAGCTTTATTCAATTATTCGTTTGGCAAAAAACGGGAATGCGATAACTCTTTCACTTCTCTATACGCTGCCTGTAACCGCTATATTCGCCTTGTGTTTCTTGGGTATTGTTTGTTTTATTCAAACCGTACATCAACTTGATGACTTACGTCTATGGTTTTACTTACTTTACTTTGTAACTAGGAAGAAATGTATTGCTGAATTACAGGGTAACCTGAGTAATCTATTTTTTTAAAATAAAATATGTTGACAATTATAAACTTCATTCAGAACCTCGGAAGAAAGTTTGATTCAGAGTTCAGAGCCTCGAAATTAGTGGAATAAATTAGTGGTTTCAATTACACTTTATACTTTTTTATCAATAACAACTGTTAAAATTGACTTATATTTATTAAAAATAGTAGATGAAATAGTACTTTAACCGCAAGGGTAGATTAAATGATACTTTAACAGCGAGGATAGGTTAAAAACTTTATTTCTCCTCGCACGTTTTTTAATTGCTTCTATTTTTGAAAATTTTTGTATTCCTTTTCATAAGTTAATTCGGGATTTAAATGGAAGTAGTTTGGATATGGCGTTTGTCGCCTCAGCCTGAATATCTGTTGGTAATTTACTTATTTCGTTTTGAGCCATTTCTGGCTCCAATTCAATCAGCAATCGACACCATATCGACACGAAAGAGAATTAAAAAATATTGACAAAAAACTGACAACTAAAGAGACAGCTTTATTTATTTGTCAAACTACATAGAAACCAACGCCAACCCAGCACAATATATTTACTACTCGTAATCAATTCCTTGAAATAATACTTTCTGAATATTTTTTAAAACGTAACTCTCGCTATGAAAAAAAATATTTTTTTATACACGACGATAAAATTGCATTATCGTCTGCCGAAATTAATCTTTTCGGTCGACGATAAAATGCCATTTTATCGTCTTGTATAGAAAATAATAACTATTCTCTTTTTTTTTCTCAGGTAAGATTTCGACAGACGATGATAGAAAAAAAGCAGATGACTTCCATACCAATCTATTTATTTCACTAAAAAAAATTTCTAATATTTTTTAAGTTAACTATGGGATGGGTTTATAATTAAAATACGTCATGCGTCGTCTCTTTTTGTTTTTAACCAGTTTTATTGGTTTATTTCAAAAACGACAGATCATATTTCAATATTATTGGTTTGACGCAACGATGAACGACAAACGGACTCCGATGCGTATGAACTCGACTATTTTTGACTCGAGATTTTTGAGAGTTGTCAAACTCTTGCCAAATTATAGGTTATAATTTTGTGTCAAATTATGTCAAATAGAAATGATAAATATTTTGCATTTTGCATTTTGGACTGTGTTGTTACTAGTGTTTCGTGTTTAAATTAAGTGGAGGAAAACTCGAGGGAAAGTTAAGTGTTGACCCAGACCATAGTTTACAGTTAATATTCGGTGCCCAGAGACCGCCAGAAACACAGTTTGCCAGAGACTATGGCCAGAGAGTTGTATTAGCCACAAATAAAGTTGTATACTATCTCGTATATAGTACCAAAAACTGGAGTATCTGTAAAATATGTTACATTTTTCGTCGGTTCCGTGTGGATAGAAAGTCACAATTTATTTAAACACTATTTATTTAACACTAATTAACAAAAACAATGACGATAAAAGACTTATAGAACTATTTACAAACGATTTATAACTAAGAATTTATTTTGAATTTTAGCGCATCAACTGCACTGGTATATTTATAACTGCCCCCTGTAGGCCACAGCCGCCGGCTTTTATACCGACAGGTAAAGAACTCTAGAATAGTCCATAGATCGTTAGGTGCGTAGAGAAGGTTTTCGAATGTTCTCGTATGTACTAGTCCATTCCAGTGGGACTCGATTCTTCTCGAACGAATGAATCATTACGGTGTCTATTCTTTAATGCGATGTTAAGGTCATCTGAGGGCGGGACATATAGTTAGGTTAGGTCGAGTCCACACGGGTCCGCAACAATAACATCACACGATAGGTAAATAATACATTTTTGTACTGCAGAAAAAAATTAAGATTAAAATTAATTAACTAAGATTAGATTTTTTCAGTTTTATACATTTTTTTCACAATATTTTGAAGTAATCACTTGTCACTCAAAATTTAAATATATTAATTATGTTCCAATTGTACCAACTTATTTCTTTGTAAAATAAAAAAAAACTACTTTGAAATTAAAATGACAGACACATCTATCACTGTCAAGGATTTTGTCGTTGGACAGACAGGATCATTCACAATGTTTAAAAAACACAATTAAAATTAGTAGAATATCCTAGCAACAGCTTGCGTTAGTGAGTTGTATCCATATCCATAGAGAAAACCTAATATTTAGCTTATAAAACATTCAACTTTTGATTTCTAACCACAATTTCTCTTGACGGAAGATAATCAAAGGCCAAAATGACATTTCTCACAAATTTTGAAGTATAATTAGTGGAAAAAGTTAAAAGTTTGATAACTTTTTCTACTAATTGAAAATGTCTACCACTAATTTTAACGTTCTGAATGCTTACATTGAGATTAGAGGAACAAACCTCTACGCTAATTGAAACCACTAATTTATTCCACTAATTATGAGGTTCTGAATGAAGCTTTAGTTGTTTCAATAATTAGCGTACTTTTTTTAAATCGCTTGATCAGTCTGTAGGCAAGATCTGTTCAGTCATCTCTCAACGTTACGTCATCATTATTTGTCAAATATGCGTTTTACGGTGTGTCTGAGGTCAGTTCATGTTGTTTAGAAGAGTTTAAGTACGTTCAGAAATTATTAATTGAATAAGTTACCGTTTTTATTAAATTCATGTAGGTATGTTAGGCCTTTATTCACTTTGATAGTCTTTCAGTATACAGGATGAGTCTTAAATAAGTGCAAATATTTTCAGGGCTGACAGATCGCGATAAAAGAAACATATTTTCTCTTTACCGTTTTTCAAATAAATCCAAAATAACCGAGTTATTTTATTTTAAAAATTTCCAAAAAAAAATATTTTTGTTTAAATTTTGAGAACCACTGGATCTTTTCTGGATTTTCTTTCTTGTAAATTTAATCTACTCCTTATGTTGCCGTATTATATAGAAATTATGTTTTTTAACTAAAAATGATGAAAAAAAACAGCGTCAGCGATGACTATGAAATAAAAATAGCTGTCATTTTATATGTAAAATTGTATGGGGAATGTCATCAATTTTCAAGCCAACTGGACGTTGTTTTTTTTCGATTCTACAGTATTTAATAAACATTATTTTAAATAAACTATTTATGTCTTAACTTATACGATGTCTAGACCACTGTCTTTCTGGACAATCGCCGCAAAGTACTCCATTGGCTTTCAGTGGCTGAGGCTGAGCAGACGGATCTATACAAATGTGTTGTTTTATATTTTGCACTCAAGCTCTCTAAAGAATAAAACGACTCTTTTACGATATGAATTAACCATTATTTCGACTTCCATACCAGTCAGAACAATGCTGCTCATGTTTTAATGCCTTAGACTACATAGAAAAAAAACTCTGTCACTAAAAATATAATATCATTTCTAAATAGAGCTGTCCAAAAATATCGATATCTTATTTCAGTCCTAAAATATCGATATCTTGTAAAATATCGATATTTTTAAAATAGCGATACGATAAGGATACGATCAAAACATCCCTTAATGTAGAAAATAATTTCTCAAACTCACCTGAACCATTTTCTGTACTGTGCATAGTAAACAGAATGGACTTTGAAGATAGATGACAGTCTCCTCGTATGTCACATTTTCTGAAACAATTTTTTTTATTAAAATTTATCTTGAATACAGTTGAGGGTTGGTACCTTAGGTGTTACAACAGCAAAATAAAACACTAATTCACCAAAATACACCAAAACACTTTACTTTTGCAGTGTTTTGGTGTATTGTGGTAAATTAGTGTTTTATTTTGCTCTTTATACAGGGTGAGTCTTAAAAAAAGAAACATATTTTCTCTTTACCGGTTTTCAATTACATTCAAAATAAGATATTTTAGTTTGCAAATGCATTTTCGCTTAAAGTTTGAGAACCACTGGATCTTCTTTTGGGTTTTCTTTCTTGTAAATTTAATCTACTACATATGCTGCCATATTATAAAGATATTATGTTTTTTAACTAAAAGTTAAAAAAAAATCAAAAAATACCAAATTTTCAATTTTTTTTCGAGAAAATAACCTCATTAACGTGTTTCTGGAGTAGAAATATACTACTCCTAAAATGTTTGCGCTTATTTAAGACTTACCCTGGATAGAGTTTTTAATATAAATATAAACAAAATGTTTCAAAGGGTCTGATGTATTAAAAGTCAAACCAATAATATTATTGGTTTGATTATAAAGGGTATGGATTAAGGGTATATACTCTATGTTTTAGAGTATTTATAATTTTTAATATGCTTTGAAAAAAATTATGTAGTATAATTTCAAACACATTGTAGATTTGACATACCAAGACAAACTTACCGAGAATATAATCAAAACCTTTCTCATTAGATATACGTCAATCCAAATAACGATTGTTTATCACCAGGAAGTAAATCTTCGTTAACGTAACGCAGATATACGTATTAATAAATCAAATTATCGATAGTATCCCTTTAATTAGATACGGACACTAATAAAGGTACGAATATAAGCTTAAGGTGTCTTATACAACACTGGCTTCGTATTTCGTGGGATATTTCAATCTCAGGATCTTTGAACTTTGAACAGAACAAATCCAGTAGTTTTCAAAATTTAAGCAAAAAGTAATTTTTTGTGAAAGCGTTTCCAAATTGACAGTTTTTGATATTTATTTTAGATTCGAAATTATATTCTTTTAGGCACTAGTGACACTTGTTTAGGCACTAGTGCCTAAAAGTAAAAAATCAAACGTTAGAAACTACAATCATTTAAATTATTAAAGTGAATACAAGAGGCATCCAACTTTTCGTCTCTAAGAGAAATGCAAGCGACTCCTACAAGTCGGAATAAGTACATTTCTTGTACTGGCAATGCTGATAGCTTCTGCTTCTACGTGAACTGCTTTTAATTTCTTATTTGGCGTATCTTTCTGTCCCATGATTCTTTTTGCTATTTAGGTTTTCTATTCAATTGAATTTTCAATGTAACCTTCATCAACCGAGCTTGATCGCCAACCGCCACACAGTGCTTCGGACATATGGCTGTAGAGGACAAAAATCCAAAACTTCTCTTTTATTGTAAGCAATTTATTCAAACTAGGTTTATTTGACACAAATGATGAGTACTCCCATTGTACTAAATGATGATGTTCTTAGTTCCACGTTTATGAAAAAAAAATCTTATAAATAATAATAATGTTGGAGCTGTGTTCCATCTAAGCAAATAATAAGTTATAGTATGAAAACGGTGTAAGTATTAAATAAATTCCTGTGATAAAAAAGAATTGAAATAACATTAGAACATGATTCCTACAATATAAGCCTAATATAAGATAAAAATGTTTTTCTTTAATGAAAAAGAAACATAAATGTTATATTTAATTAAAAAAAAAATTAAGATACTATAAATTTACTTTAGGACAACAAAATGCATAGATCGTAACTACTCTGATTCAGGAGAATCACTGCTGACAGAATCTTCCAAATTTATAGTATCCAAATCACAGGTAGATGAAGTATCCTCACATATAAGATATTTCTGTACATCATTTTCTAATATGTTACTTTTTCGCGTTGTTACTGTTCATTTTGTCGGTATGAGGGGTTCGGATGTTAATAGTTACCTCTTTAATAGAACATATCCATATATTATTTTTTCCTTTTCTTGGGTATGAGATTTTATAATAAATTGAAAGATGGACACTTTTTTTTGCGACGTTTCGCTCCAACATAGTGGACTTTTTCAGGCACAAGTGGTGTCTCATTTGACTGGAAGTTTCATCAATATCCAAAGAACACATTTTTTGAAATACAAATAATTTTGAGTTCTTGTCCTTATGATCAAGCCCAGTATTAACCAGATCGGCATTGCTTATCAATTTTACTCCATCTGAAAAGTATTATAAAATAAAGTTCGTCGCAAGCAGACGCAGGTGAACTATACAAAAATTAAAAGTGTATGAATATGACAACAAAAATATTCAATAAATACGATATGTTTTGATATGTTTTTTTTAAATGCCTTTTTGAAGTTTGAAAACGTAAAATTTTTATACCCATTTAAGAATCATCTTAAAAAATAAATAAGAACTAAACAATCACGAACTTGTTTAGAAATAAATTTAAAGTACATACCTTGTTTAACAATATCCATAGTGGCTTTCAATTAAGTACATACCCGTTTAACTTCATAATATACAGAACTACTATGAATGTTATTCTTTTCACTGATGAGATAATGATCGCAAAATTTATTTTTAGTGAAAATATTTGCTAACAAAAACGCTGTTTATGAAAAATAATATACAGGATGGTTGAACATTGCTATAAGTATAAAATTATATATTCAGATATTAGTAAATTTTAACTTATTTTTTGATTTTTGTCCATGGGACGAAGCACTGTGCGCCATGTCGCTTTAAAACTCTTATGACCGCTCCTGAATCTGCCAGCATTGTTGCAGAGCTGCGCCGGAAACAATGACCAGTGTATTCAATGGCGTTGGAGAGTTCAAGAAATTCCGAAATTTTTTTTTTTGGCATACCTCCAATTGTGTTGATTCCAACTGGCAGGGTACAGCACTGATTTTTTCGATACGTCAAGAAAGATCGCTGATGTGTCACATCGAGTGGTCGAAGTTTTGCGTACTTACGAAATACGTGTAAGAAATTGATACCATCTGTTGGTCCCTCAGTAATCGTAAACACTCTTGGAAAACGAGGTTTTGTATTCGGCATCTCCACACTAATAAATGACTGACAATCTTTAATGGCATATACACTACGGTCAAAAACGTGATTTCTTCCCTCCTACATGCTCCAACTACTCAAACGATTGAGACAACTTTAGCTAACATGAATTCTTTCTCATCGGCTTCTTTCATAAAGCGTTCTATTTCCAGTTTTGTAAATACTTTTGATTTCTTTGCCTGATATCCAGAAGCTTTTCTTTTTAAAAATGCAATAAGGTTTGTGAATTTGCTAATATCTACGTTTCTGTTCAGGTAAATCATGGTGCGGAGCATCGAATATTTACTCCACAGAGTTGACAGCTTTAAGGTAGTGGATAACTTTAGGAAATAGACTAGCAATGCCTTTTCTGTGAAATTCTCAACATGTTTTTCTTCGACCCAGGTTTCAAAGTTGTTGTAGGTGGTCTCGTATAAGTTTTTTGACTTCTCGGGCACTTACGTGGATAGCGCAGATTCAGCAGCTTGTTGAATATCCAAAGGCTCGTCATTATCACTCATTTTTTCACAAAACTTTGTAGGAAATACGGCGACGTTTGAACCTGACAGAACTTTGCCATTAAACAATGGAGGAACCGATTACCAGAACATTTTAAAAAATGTTTAAAAATAAATAATAATAATAGCATGAAAATCTCAAATTATCCGCTTTCACAAAAAATCTTGTATGAAATTCGTTGCGAAAAGTGTGTTCTAAGCACTCGACGCATTGTCCAACTCGGCTTTCGCCTCGGACAATTTTGCGTCCCGTGCTTAAAACACATTTATTTCGCAACTTGTTACATAAATAGCTATTTAAGCCTTCAAAATAAAATATCTTGATTATTTTGGACTTATTTGAAAAACGGTAAAGAGAAAATATGTTTCTTTTATCGAGATCTTCCAGTTCTATGTAAAACTATATTTTTTAGTTAAGATTCGCCCTGTATAAACCCTTAAAAGTATACACCAGATTAAAGTAAACAGAAACTTCAAAAACATTCAGAACAAGCGTGCGTTTTATAATATCCCTTGTTATTTTATGTTTATCGCCACGCAGAGCCCTAATTGACCCCGAAAGACCTCCCCGAGCTCTAAGGGCACAATCAGAATCGGTTCGTTATAATAACGAGGCGCTGGAGCCGCCCCAAAAGGGGGGCTTCCCACGACGCCAGGTGTCAATTTGTTCTAATGGATGGTAAGGTGGCGTAGAACGTAACGAGCAACCATTAAAACTGTTAATAGGAATAAAACCTCGACTTAGAGACGATAAAAGGAGGAGAAAAAGTATTGAATCGTTCTTCTAGAAGGTGTGATATTTATTATAGGGTTTATTAACATTCGTTTATAAAGTCGAAACACCTGCCTAAAGAAAAGAGCTTTTGATCAATTTATACTCCTAATACAACAAAAAACCTATATCTTTACAACCTTAGCCTTCTAGTTTTCATACTATAATACAGGGTGGTCCGAACTGTATTCCGGAAACTTTGACACCATATTTTGCAGATAAAAATAAGTAAAAAGTTTATGGATGAAAATTGATTTTTGGGAGTTTTTTGGCATGATATATTATTTGATTTTGATGTCAATATCTGACTGATAACCTATTTGTACGGGGCGCCACCTATATGTGTTTTAACTGTTTTGAGGAGTAATAAATTCTCGTCCGTACCTGTATAAAACTACTGGGTGAAGAAATATACAATTCTTTGATTTTTTACGTAACAAATGTATCTTGGTAAAAATAGTTACGAGCAACCGTTCTCAAGATATTTAGAATGGAAATAATCAATACATGTTATTATTGACAAAAAATAAACATGTTGAGTAGATAGTTATTTGACTGAAATAATAAATTTGGGAACTTTTTATTTTTTTGAATAATCATAAATTTTTCCTCG